ATCAAAATCAGTATCATTCGTAGAATTGTTGGCATTAATAGCTTTATCTGCTATGCTATGATCTTCGTCATTATCACAGGAGAATGATATATTCTTATTAGGATTATTATTATTCATATAATTATTGGTATTAATATCACTATCTACTGTTTTTTATAATTATTATCGTTATCACGGGAAACTGTTACATTAAAATTTATAGTCTTTAGTCTACTATTCTTATTATCACAACCTTTGGAAAGTATCATGGCATTATCAGAATCAATATGTGTATTATTGACATTATTTATTGCATTATGGTCATATTCGTTATTAAGAAAAATTTCTGTATTATTGTCAAAATCAGTGGCATTGTTCAAACTATTGGTATTAATATGCTTATTAGTATTCATATTAATAGTGCAAACATCATGTGATGTTTCTGTATTTACTGCAAAAAATAGAAAAATTTTTAGTGTAGAAAATAAAAATGCAATGTAAATATCACACGTAGTTTCAGAATTTAAAATTGTAATACTTACTATTGTTATCATGAATAATTAATTTTATTTTTTCCAGAACAATGCGTGGATTATTTGTATTTAAATTTTTAGCAATTATAAAAAGATCGTCTTTATTTTCTGTAAAAATAAAATATTTAATTTTATTTATTTGGACACAATTGATCAAAACGTGTTGCTGCGACAATTTAATTAAAAGAGAATTTAACTAAAAAGGAAGTTAAAATAACGATACTGTGCAAAATCTATACATATTTATGGCATATATTAATTTATTTATTGATTATTAACTTGATTAAAAAGGTTATATTCTGTCAAATAGGTTATAATAGGTTATGCTGAATGTATGCAATATGCGCTGAAAATATTTTAATTATTTTAAGTAAATAAAATAAAAATGAATACTTACTGTTCTGTGCAATTGTACGTATAATACATGTTTTCTTACGATTTCTATTAACTGCACATTTAACGTTCATCCTTTTGTGTTTCATATTTGTTCCGTAATATTTATGACAATTACAAAAAAAACAATATATAACGTGACATTTTTTCACATAAGTATTCAGTCGTATATACAAAACGAAAATGACTTTTACATATCAAATGAAATAATTCTTGAACGTATATAGTATGTACGGTATGTAGTTTTATGGCTTCTATACACTGGACGCGGTAACGCTTGTCGTACGACGCAGTAGCCAATCAGTCTTTTGTTTTTATGAAAAAGTTATCTGTTATGTAAGCGCTATAAAATGTCATGCATGACAGATGGTTTGACCGACAAACGAATATATATTCTCATAAATACGTTTCCGATACCGGCTTGTAAACCTCTTAATATAAATATGTTTTCATAGCGGCGTCTTTGATATGCCGCGTTTTATGTTTACCGCGCTAGGACCGCCGTGACGCTATCCGCCATTGCCTTGAGCCGCCGCGTTTGTTTTTGTGGTGGCCACCACTTTTCATATGCGACATCGACGAATCACGGCATCTTAGACTGATAACCACCAATTAGATAAAATTAGAGGAGGTCCTAAGATCTCTTGGTGGCGGCGCGCATCGTTCCGTTTCTCAATATTCGCGTAGTAGCTCTCGAAGTGAACAGTCGGTCATATACGAGTACGAAAATTATACGAATACGAGTCTTATACGAGTACGTTACAAGTCCGGTGGAAACGGTCGATTTAACGGGTTGGTCTAACCGAGGACTCAGAATGAGTTTAGGCTCATCCCTAGGCGTTGTCCTTACAACATTATTCGATATAATCGGGGACTCAGGGTAACTTCAGGTTAACCCCTAGGCGTTGTCCTCGCAATAATACAGTTAAGGAGAAGTGATTGCAAATGTACAATAAGTGATACAAATAAACTCATTGTGAATAAGCAATTTTGTTCATTGTTTGTGCCTTATATAAAATAAAAACAGTGCGGACATTAAATTGTCCAAGCTGATCGGAACATTTTTTGGTGCCTCCTGTGAGGTACGAGCCTCACATAAATACACAACCGAAGGGAAGACGGCTTCGTGCAGAAGGGATCATACGAAGGCAGAAATAACGCACGGCATTCATCACAGGGAATTCAGAGTGAGTCATTCGATTTACATTCTCCACGTAATTCAGAGCGCGTAACAATGGCCGAAAGAATTAAAATTTTGACTCAAAAACGAAGTTCGTTAAAAACTCAAATCACTACTCTATCTAATGCTCTCGACCGAGGTAAGCTCGATAATGCGACATTAAAATTACGAATTGCTCGCGTAACGGAATTATACCATAAATTTGAAGAAAATAACGATGAACTTATGGTATTAGACCCTGACGATGGGCATATGGCGGAATTGTTTAATACACAAGAGCGCTTTTATGATCTTGCTGGTCGGATAGAAAGAATCGTCAACGTGGCCGGCACCGCAGGCACGAATAGCAACGCGTCGAGTGAAGAGGTTCGCGATGATAATTCTGTCAACGGAACAGGTAATACGCGCCGTCGGATAAAGTTGCCACAGGCATCGTTGCCTATATTCGACGGCAAATACGAAAACTGGCTTTCTTTTAAGAATGCTTTTAATAATATGGTAGGCTCGCAGTCGGATTTGTCTGATATGGACAAACTGCATTATTTGCAATCAGCACTGAAGGGCGATGCCGCAAGTAAGATAAAGATTCTTGCGGTGGAAGGAATTAATTACTCGAGCGCGTGGAAATTATTAGAAAGATCGTACGAGGTCAAACGAATTTTGATATCGCGGCATCTTGCGTCCATTATTAATTCGCCTGTATTAGATAAGGAAACTACGAGCGGCTTGACGAAACTGGCTGATGATGCGCAGCAGCATATCGCATCGTTAAATTCTCTGGGGATCACGGTCGGTGAAGAGATGGTGGTGCACATTTTAGAAAGTAAATTGCCGAAGAGTGCGCTCGAAAAATGGGAAACGACGTTGGATAGGGACGAATTTCCAAAACTCGAAAAAATGTTTGAGTTCCTTTATAAGATCGCGGTCTGCGCGTCGAGACGCGAGAAATCAAAGGCATCGGAATCAGACAAACTTAAGGGCGAACCCCCGTTTAAGAAACGACGAGAAGACTCGTCCAATCGAGCTTTCATATCAAATGTAGCGCGTAATTGCATAGTTTGCAAAACAGGACGACATTTTATTTATACTTGCGACAAATTTAAGAAGTTATCTGTTCCGGAACGCATTGAACTAATAAAGAACGCTAAACTTTGCTTTAATTGTCTACGTTCGCATCGCGGAACTCCCTGTAAATTCAGTAATTGTACGATTTGTCAGAAACGACACAATTCTTTATTACATCTTGATAAACCAACCGGCACACCGAATGCTTCGAGTTCCGCGGATTCTTCAAGTTGACTAGATGACGCAGCCGAGAATAAAGCAACGAGTCTCGCGACAATCTCGCATTTTGCACCACAGCTGCTAACGAGTGCGTTAGTTAATATTCGGGACTGTAAGCAAAACGTTGTGCAATGTCGAGTGTTGTTAGATACGTGCGCTACAGCGAACTTCATCTCCGAGTCAATCGTGAAACAATTAAACGTGCAGGTAGTTAAACAATCACTACCGATAGGAGCGATTAATGCAATGAATACGATGTCCAAGGGCATGGTACAAGTTACTATACATTCGCGGCATAATGATTTTTCTAAAACATTAACGTGTTTAATAATTCCAAGCATCACAGATCGAATTCCGGCAGACGTCTTTCCGCGAGAGCAAGTTAGAATACCTCCAAACATTAAGCTAGCTGATCCGTATTTCCATATACCAAACTCAATCGATCTTTTGATAGGATCAGGCGCGACGTTGTCATTATTTTCAATTGGACAAATCAATCTGTCTCGAGATGGACATGATTAGTTTTTACAAAAAACGCGGCTTGGATGGGTGATTGTGGGAAGCGCATTAGCGCAAACTCAATGTAATACCGCGACGTGTCAATTGACGAGTTTAGAAAAACAATTATTGAAATTTTGGGAAATTGAAGAGGTTGCCACCGATAAGCCAAAGTCAGAGGAAGAAATAGAATGTGAAAGGCATTTCGTGAACAATGTGTTTCGCAACAAGAAGGGACGTTATACGGTTCGCCTACCGTTTCGCAAGAACGCCGGGACTTTGGGGGAATCTAGAACAATGGCAATTAGACGCCTATCATCATTAGAACGCAAATTTGACGCCGATGAAATATTGAAAAACGAATATATACGAGTGATAGAAGAACATTTAAGATTAGGGCACATGGCAGTAGTAAGGGATTCTGAAAATGACGGATATTACATGCCGCATCACGCGGTCATTAAAGAAACAAGCAATACTAAGGTGGTGCGCGTGGTATTCGACGCCTCCGCGAAGACGAGCAACGGCATATCGTTGAACGAAGCGTTGATGGTAGGGCCTACAATTCAAAACAAACTGTTCACTCATTTAATGCGGTTTCGAACATACAATTACGTTATAACAGCAGACGTTGAAAAAATGTACTGTCAGGTGTTGCTTCACGAAGATGATCGTTGGTTTCAACGAATACTTTGGCGAGTCGGCAAAAGAGTCGAAACACTTCAATTCAATACACTCACGTTTGGCGTGGCGTCGTCACCGTTTCTAGCAATTCGCGTGATTCAAAAACTTGCGGACGACGAAAGTCATATGTATCCCCGGGCGGCAAAAATTATCAAGGCACATTTATATGTGGATGATTTATTAACCGGGGCCGCAACCGTCGAAGAAACTCGAGTCATTAGAAATGAGATAATTGCTCTGTTAGCTCGCGGAGGGTTTAATATTAGACAATGGGCGTCAAATGATGAGCGAATCGTTAATGATCTGCCGGAAGAAGCGTTGCATGCCAATTTCGTAATGAACCTAGATCGTTCTTTGAAGACGTTAGGAGTTACGTGGAACGCGCGCGATGATAAGATACAATATTTTGTTCATCCCATAAAAAACACGGAAAAAATAACGAAGCGAAGCATTTTGGCGGAGATCGCAAAAATTTTCGACCCATTAGGATTGCTGGGCCCCATTGTTTTACATGCTAAAAGAATGATGCAGGACGTTTGGCGATGCGAACTACATTGGGACGAATCCGTACCTCAAAGCATTAACTCCGAGTGGTTAGAATTCACGCGGCAGCTGAAATCGATGGGACAGATTTCCTTTGATCGCAAATTATTAGTGGAAGACTGTCGCGATATTCAGTATCACGGTTTTTGCGACGCTAGCAATGTCGGCTACGGAGCGTGTCTTTATGTGCGGTCAACGGACAAATTCGGGAAGACGATAATCCGACTCGCATGCGCCAAGTCGCGAATCGCGCCGTTAAAAACAGTGACGATACCGCGACTTGAACTTTGCGGCGCGTTGTTGCTAGCGCGATTATATCGCGAAGCAGATGCTGCAATGAGTATCGAGCCCAACAAAGTAGTCTTTTGGTGTGATTCAACCATAGTTCTACATTGGTTAAGAACTGCACCGCATTTGCTAAAAACATATGTGGCAAATCGCGTAGTCGAAATTCAAGAAAGTGTTGAATCTAATGTATGGCGTCACGTAGGATCGGCCGATAATCCAGCCGATGCGATATCGAGAGGTCAGCTACCTCGCACATTTTTACAGAATCAAATATGGTTCCAAGGACCATCGTGGTTACGTAAGGAGGAAACAGAATGGCCAAACGAAATCATGCAAATAGATACGGTGCCGGAACTGAAAAGAAACACATGCTTGTTAGTAACATCCAAAGAATTCGGCATGCTTGATAGATACTCGTCTTATTCTAAATTATTGAGAGTCATGGCCTATTGTTTACGATGGCGATCGTCTAACAAGCGTACCGGATTGCTAAACGCGAGAGAGATAGACACAGCGGAAATTAGAGTATTAAAATTATTGCAAGCTACTCAATTTACTCATGAAATACGAAAACTTCAACAAAGAGAGGAATTAAAAAATAAGAGTAAGATCGTTAATTTGAGTCCATTTCTTGATAAAAACGGTTTGATAAAGGTAGGAGGTTGTCTGCGAAAATCTTTGTTAACATTCGCGCAAAAACACCCGATTTTACTATCAAGTCGGCATCCTCTAACTGATCGTATAATCAAAGAAATACACGAGATGCATCATCATACAAGTATTCAGAATACTTTATACATATTACGGCAGAGATTTTGGATAACTGATGGCCGGAATCAGGTACGAAGGATTGTGCGTGCGTGTACGCGTTGTTTCCGGTTTCACGCTAGCGCGACAGAATATAAAATGGGAGACCTTCCGTCGTTTCGCGTACGCGAAGCACTGCCCTTCGCTAATACCGGTGTTGATTTTTGCGGCCCGTTTTTTGTGAAGGAAAAGAAGCATCGTAATAGAGCGCGTGTGAAGGCGTACGTATGCGGTTTGTATTTTTGTCTATAAAGGCGGTGCATCTTGAGCTTGTAAGCGATTTATCGACAGATGGATTTCTAGCGGCATTACGTCGATTCGTCGCAAGACGAGGGTTACCGGACCACATTTATTCAGACAATGGAACCAATTTCGTCGGGGCAAATAATCAGCTTAAAGAAATGTATGCTCTATTCAATTCCGAACAACATAAAGATAAAATAAATCATTTTTCTAGCGAGCGTAGAATCGACTGGCACTTCATACCGCCGTTTGCCCCCCATTTTGGCGGGTTGTGGGAAGCCACTGTCAAGTTGTTTAAGCATCATTTCAAACGCGTCGTAGGAGATTCACTCTTCACGTTTGAAGAACTAGCTACGTTTGTTACTGAGGTCGAGAGCATCTTAAATTCGAGGCCAATTATTTCTCTTACGTCGGATCCGAATGACTCGCTCGCGCTATCGCCGGCCCATTATCTTATCGGCAAACCACTAACAACCCTTCCGGAGGGCGACATCACTTGTGTTCCAGCCAACAGACTATCAAGCTGGCAACATATCGTTAAAGTCCGTCAAGATTTCTGGACACGATGGAACTTGGAGTATCTCAACGAGCTACAGATGCGTAGCAAATGGGCCAAGGACGGAATGAGTCTGGAAGTCGGAACGGTTGTTCTGATAAAGTCTAAAGGCATACCCTGTTCACAATGGGCTCTAGGCAAAATATTGGAACTGCATCCAGGCGAAGACGGTGTGTCTCGAGTGGCTACGATTAAGACAGCAACCGGAATAATAAAGAGGGCCACAAGGCTCCTCTGTAAGCTACCAACGGAATAATACAAGATCTGTTGGCGATGTTCAATCATTGAACATTTTATATATATAACAATTAATGCGAAATGTATGCAACTGACTAGTCAGGGCTCTATATAAAGAGTTGATCGAATACTCTCTCAACGGGGGGAGTATGTTATGTAAGCGCTATATAATGTCATGCATGACAGATGGTTTGACCGACAAACGAATATATATTCTCATAAATACGTTTCCGATACCGGCTTGTAAACCTCTTAATATAAATATGTTTTCATAGCGGCGTCTTTGATATGCCGCGTTTTTTGTTTACCGCGCTAGGACCGCCGTGACGCTATCCGCCATTGCCTTGAGCCGCCGCGTTTGTTTTGTGGTGGCCACCACTTTTCATATGCGACATCGACGAATCACGGCATCTTAGACTGATAACCACCAATTAGATAAAATTTGAGGAGGTCCTAAGATCTCTTGGTGGCGGCGCGCATCGTTCCGTTCTCAATATTCGCGTAGTAGCTCTCGAAGTGAACAGTCGGTCATATACGAGTACGAAAATTATACGAATACGAGTCTTATACGAGTACGTTACAAGTCCGGTGGAAACGGTCGATTTAACGGGTTGGTCTAACCGAGGACTCAGGGTGAGTTTAGGCTCATCCCTAGGCGTTGTCCTTACAACATTATTCGATATAATCGGGGACTCAGGGTAACTTCAGGTTAACCCCTAGGCGTTGTCCTCGCAATAATACAGTTAAGGAGAAGTGATTGCAAATGTACAATAAGTGATACAAATAAACTCACTGTGAATAAGCAATTTTGTTCATTGTTTGTGCCTTATATAAAATAAAAACAGTGCGGACATTAAATTGTCCAAGCTGATCGGAACATTATCAGTTGATTGACTAACTTTTACCGCGCGACAAGATGATCGCGTCCTGTTATTGAAACATACATGAACAAACCTATAAAGTAAAATTTGTTAGATTATTGAAATAAATAAAAGCAATAGTCAATTTCATTCATTATTTAAATAATTATCCTAATGTTATGATCCGGAAATTTTATGATCGTTTTTGAAATATAGATATTGACTATGTATATCTTTTCTAATCAGTTTTAAAACTGTAACATATACAATGGCAGTTTCCAGGACAATTTTATTTTCAATAGATCTAATAATAAAGAATTGAGTCTTTGTTGCATGATATTCCAAAATGAAAAACGATTAATTAACATTGTTAGAGAATATGGATTTGTTTTATATATCTTAATACACTAATGAATAGGACGTGAATGTTCGTGCACGATCCCGTGTCGCGCGCGGAGAACCGCAGCGTGTGAGTGCGAGTGAGAGCGAGCAACTTGCTACCTCACTTTAGCGAACATC